AAAAAAAAAAAAAAACAAGTTCCCTCCTGCCCTGTTTTTTCCCTTTTCTCTTCTTCTCTCCTTCTCCTAGTCAATCACGCAGATGATTCTTATTTATACATAGAAAAAGAAGATTCAATACAAGTTTGACAGTCGCCGTTTTCTTCTCCTATAGTGCCCTGCAGAAAATTATTCAATGTTAAAAGTTGTTGTACAAAAAACCCCCAAAAAAACCAATGTATTCTAAAAATTGGTCAAAATAGAAAAAAAGAAAGACTACACTACTGAGTTTTTGTCAAATAACCTCTAGACTTTAGTTCAAATATCTAATTATTCACCACCTCTAATGACTATAACATTTTTTCATATAAAAAAATTTTTTTTTCTAAAAAATAGTGTATAATAAAGAAGGAACAAATTAATTAAACTTTAAAAATGATCATCAAACACGAAATGAGCAGATTGCCTACCTCATGTCAACATGAAATTTATTGCCACCAAGGATTAACCGCCACAAATCCACTAAATATCAGATAGTGATAAAGTTACCAACTTGCACAAGATAGCACTTCTAAGAACCTCAAAATTGTTGCTCAGTAGAAAATTTGTAAAACCATAATAGGAGACTTTTGTAAGTTACCGCAACATCATCTAACACTACTGTCCCTTTGTCTGGCAAACATTGTTTAATTTTTGACCCAAGTTAATTCAATAAACTAATTGTACGCTACACAAAGTTATAACACCCACTGACACCCAGTAACAGTAACAGGCTAATTAATAAAAACTGTATCCAATTCGCCTACACAAAATAACGATCAGTGTGTACAAAGCGGAATACAATCTTATATTTCTGCACCATCAAAATCAGTTAACAATATATGCATATGACTGATAATAAACTTACAATCATAACAAGTGCGTATTTGAACAAAAAATTATTTAAAACCGTTAACAACCGGCAGGGCATAACAGTTGATATAAAGTACATCAGACCACAAAACAAAAAAAAATGACGTCGAATTACCAAAATATATTTGACTGTTAGAACGAAAATTTTGAAAACAATTAGAGATATAACTCAAATATTGTTGAACCATTTAGTGCTTTGAATAATTCCTAAAAATTAGATTTTAGAGGCCCGTTCTGCAAAATCTACAAATTTTAAATACTTCAGCTTTCTGTGAAACTGCAATCAATTTGATTTTAATCCCTAAATCAAGTATAAAAATAACACGTAATATTACACCTGAAATGACAAAAAGTAGGTTAACATTAAACCTTAACATTAAACCACCTCTAATGTTAATACTTGTTATCGCTACAATCAATTCTTGGCTCAAAAAGCATTTTAAAATAAAAACTTTCAACTGCCAGGCTTTTAATCAACGTATTAGAATGTTACATCAACAGCAACAGAAGAGAAGACAGCTAATTACGTTACGTCCCGTTCAATAGTTTAACTTTACAAGCGCTATAACTGTAAAAGTATCTGAAAAATTGAACAGGCCTCTTCTTAATACGCATTTCAAAAGTCAAAATTCTGTAAATAAGCTGATTTTAAAAAATTTACGACAAAAATAAAGCAAAGTAGAACTCCCCAACCACTAAATACCAGTAAAATAATAACAAATAAAAAATTTTTGATTTTTTTAACCCTTACTTCATGTATGCAGTAAGCTAGCGTTAAAATAAATAAAGTTTGCTTAGTCTAAGTTTATGAAGTTGTATTCTTCAAAATAAGAGGTTACATAAAAATTAATAACTTAATATAAAAAAACTTTAAAGAATTTAAAAACAAAACAACAGCAAGAAAGACCACAAAATATCAATATTTTTATATTACACACACATTACCACTTGAAAAAAAACACTAAAGAATCAGTCCTAAAGTAATTTTTTGCTCTTCAACCTGAGCGAGTGGTTTTCAGCGGAAAAGTAATAAACATCAACCCAGAAATATATCATGATTTTATAAAATGATACATGAAAGAATCCTGGTCGAATAAATCATACAGCCTCGCCAATTCCATACTTTCAGCCATGTCCAAAAACATTTTCTGTAAACATGCGTTACCATGAGCAAATAACGCAAATGGTTGTTTCTGCACTATCTTTTTTTGTACTCAATGCTAGTCTCAAGCTTCTTTTCCAACTTGTACAATAAAGAAAATGTAAATTCCAAAAAAGATTATAACATAAACAAAAAAAAATAAGATTGTTAATTCAGAACTTGTCAAAAAGTATAATATAAAATGTCACAAACACGGTTTATATTAAAAATGTTCTTGCAAGAACGAGCTAAAAATAAATTAGAAAATTGTAGAAAAAAAAAGCAATTATCACACCGATGGCCTACCAATAAAACGACTACTTTTAAATTTTACTACTTCATTCCTCTACAAGAGCGATTTCAAGAAGATTAAATTAAAATGTGTTATCACCCGTACTCTACAAATGAAGGCTTTGCTTCCTTCTATATAACTGTTTTGGTAAAGGAACGTTGTTGCAAAGGAGAACCTTTGAAAAAAACAGTAAAAAAGACCGAAATAGTGTTTGACTAATAGCCATGAAATTGATCTAAAAAGAATTTTGTCGCTAGTTCCTCAGAACAGCATACAGCTGCATTATGTTTTAAAGTTTAAGCACTGTATAAGCTAGTCGAAACAGCTCTGAAGATCAACACTAAACGTATTTGGAGAAAAGAAAAGATGATTTCTTGAAGCAAAAACCAGTAAATTTTGCTACAACATACCTGGACCAAATTGAGAACAACCATACATTCACCCAATCTAGAGGCATAATTAGGCACCCCAAGTTCTTCAATATAATAGTAGTGTAATCCGTGGAAGATTAGTTCTCGCATTGTACGAATTTTCTGCATTGTTTCAAGTGTGATGCCTTCGATACCTAGATACAGCAGTCAAATAACAAAAGATCTTGGCTAATTGTCTCATAAAAATCCGATAAAAAAATTGTCAAGAAGTTTGCAGATAAATACCTTCCGAGAAAAGGGTTAGAGCAATCATAGCTGCGAACTCCGTGTCTGTAATGCTGATATTTCGCATTGCTTCCATATTTGCAAGATGTCCGTAAAAATTTTCTTTCATTACCCTACAAACTCACTCATAATCGAGTAACAATGACTTTGACCCACATAAAACAATTACAAGATCAAAAACAAAGTACGGCAGACTAAAATTAAAAAAAAAAAGAAATAAATGAAATGGGATCTCACAAGCAGCTTACTTCGCAACTGAAGCGTCAATTTTTTGCGGTTCGAAAAACGCATCAACTTTCTCCAAATCTATATATGAACCAATCGTTAACATAACTCGGGTTTTTTCTTGAGAAGGAAATTGTCGCACAGTTCGGAAACATCCCTCCAAGCCCCAAAGATGACAGACAAAATTATGAAAAACAATCCACTGAAAAAAGCCACTTTATCCGAAAATGACTCGTCACAAGGAGTTCGAAGTAAGCTCAAATCTGCTTGATAATTATCATTAAAGAGACTAATATAGTAAAGGTCTGAAAGACGGTTTGTTTGAACACCCTCATTTCGTTTGAAATATTTAATGAATAGTCACAAATAATTTATCATTACCCAATGAAATTAAAAAAAACATATTTACCTTCTGTTGTTGAGGAAAAGCAGCAAAAGTTTCAAAAGTGTTGTCCAAAAAATCAGCAATAAGAGAAATGTCAGCCCGATGGACTTTAGTTACATGATCAAAGTTGCCCATTTTCACATCACTAACCGGATTCTTAGAAAAAACATTATGGAGCGGTTCCATCGATAACGTAATTTCTGCAGTCCGACGAGACTCGTTCAGTCTGCGATATGCTAAAAAGGATAATTAGCCACAAAAAAAAATGCATTTTCATCAAAAGAAATGACCTGAACATTTCAAAACTTCAAAAATTTTAATTTTTGCCAGTTTTAAAACAGTGATTGATAAGAATAAGATCCCATTTTTCCTGCAAATCTCACTTCTAAATGAATCACTAAGATGCGTTACGAATTACCTTGCATATGGTTCTTACCTACCGCATATCATTTCTACAAAACAGTAATTAACAATTAAAAACACCAGAACCAAAACCAAACAGCCTTACCCTCCTCTACTCTCTTCAGAAGAGACTGGGGAGCAGACACATTAGGCAAACTGGGTTGGTGACTAGGAAAAGCTACAGGTGCAAAAGCAGAAGTTGAAGGATTAGCAGGTGGAGGTGGAGGCCTCATCACAGGGTTCTTTGTCTTAAAAAGAAAACATGTTAAGCAAATGTAAGCAAATATAATAGTCATCCTTGAAGAAGAAATTTGGCTTGTATTGTTTTCTGAACTAAACTAGATTGTCTCAGATAGCACAGAGCCTTGCAAAAAATGTGACATAATGCCAAGAAATTAATAAAAAACCTCATTTTCAGATGGTGATACGGAGAGGAAATGAGAAGCTGTCCGGCCGCCAGATTTTTCAAAACTGTTCTTTAGAGGATCTCTTTTCGGTTGGACACCTGAATTGAAGATAAATGGTCTAAAAGAAGTAAACAAACAGAAAAGGGTTAGTACTAGCCACACTACATTTTCAGCAAAAATACTTACTTTCAACCAGCATACCACACTCCAGACATTTCTTGAACCTGCAGCTACGGCACATGCAGCGAATAGCTATAAATAAGAGATAAGCAGCAATAAATAAAGTAAGAAATTTTTTCAATAAAAATTAAGAGAATACTATCAAAAAAGTTATTTTGAAAATGTTATAAAAATGCTTGTCTTGCCCATAAAAAAACTTCTGGAAGCAAACGAGAAAAAAATAAATGAATAAAAATAGACAAAACAAGTACAGGTAGATATATTGCAGTTATTTGTCCCAAGTCTACAGACGTAAACTCGTTTCAAATTAACGGTACGTCGAAAGAACGCCGCACATGCTCGACAAGAATCAACACCAAAATGTGAACCATCCGAACGTTCATTACAGATTCTACATCTGACTTCTTTGGACATTAGATATAAGTCGACCAACTTCTAAAAGAAAAAAATTTTTCTGTCCTCGCATAATTGCACAACGTCAAAGCACGTACATCCCAAGAAAGAGCTTATACCAAAACCTTTAAATGATACGGATTTCAGAAAATAGTATACGTTGATACTTCTTATTCGAAACTGATCAACTGCCAAACATATGACGTCACTGAGAAAAAGACACTAAGTCATCAAGCGAATCGCTGAGATTATTTAAACCACAGTTTCTAGGCAACGGAACGGCGTACCCTAGGCTCGATGGGAGTTTCCATTTTCGACTAGAGTGCATACCCTTACAGGCTTACATTAGCAGTCAATAAATGCTAGGAGAAAGACAACCAAATGATAACTGAATGCATCGATGCAAAATAAAAAAAGAAAATAAAAAAAAGACGACAAAACGAAGATAATAACCGATGGGAACTAGAAGTGTACAAAGGAAGCATTTTTTCCACCCTATCAGACCTGTAATGATCTGAACAAAATAAATTATTTAAGCATATTGTACGCTTAGAAGCTTGAGTGATTTCAGATGGTATCAAGTTTGCTTACATCTGTCAGTAAACGGTTTTCCCTTTTCTCTCGCTACATTTCTTCCGGTATATTTCCCATCTTTTACCTTTCTGGACCTCCTAAACTAATAAAATGTTACTTAGAACTTGTACAACACTAAAAACGTTCTTCTACTGATTTACTGTATTCCGATCAAATCGCTAATTTGCTTCAAAACTGCCACCAGTTTTCAAAAGTTTCACCAACCCTTACACCAATGGCAATTATGGTTCAATTCAGCATCAGTAACGCTATCTGCTTTTGAATATTAGCACTTCATTAGTCCACTTTTTAAACAATACGTAAACTATAAGTGTTCTTCCCAAACGACAATTGCCTTTCACCTTGCTTCTGAGAGAAAAATTTTGTTTATTGTCTCCTACAAACAACTGTTCCTTAGTTACGGTTACAATTATTAATAGTTATTAACTTAACTGAATGATATAAAGGTGGAATCTCAAAGTGATGCTAATTCTATAAGACTGTCAAATTCAACGGTTTTTGAGACTGCTGTAACAGTTAAAATCTAATATAAATGTAACTCAAGAGAAGCG